AATACATATAAATTAAAAAATAATATTTACTATATATATATATAATAAAATATGTTATTATAAAAAATATACATTATTTTAATATATATGTAAAATGACGATTGTATATATATATCATATATATTATATATATATAGTAAATTGTATTTTTTAATGTAAAATTAATATAACTATTATATATTAATTAATTTTTTAGAATAAAATAATTAAATTATATATTTTATGAAAATTACTTACAATGACTGTGTTCAATTGATCTAATAAAAGTCGTGCATTACTATTAGCTGTATGAATAGCTTGATTTTTTTGACCTACACGTGCCATAACTTCTCTAATCCTACCAAGTGCTTCATCATAAGCAGCCAGACGAGCTTCAACAACAGAAGCTTCAGTTATTGCTATTTCTATACTATTCATTAATTGAGTTACACAAGCTTCTGATGCCAAAACTGATTGTACATTTTCCTATATTCATTAATAAAAAATATTTTGAATAAAAATTTTATATAATGGATTATTAAAACTATAATTTTACCCCATCAAGAATTGAAAGATCTTTAGAAAGAGTTTCCATAAAAAGTTCAGCATTAGAGACTGCATATTCACAATCTTCCATCATTTGTTCTAAATCAGCAGCTTCTTTTTCAGTAATAGGTTGATAATCAGATGAAATAGGGGATGTTAATAATTCTAAAAATTATAATTTTAAATTAATTAAAATTATTATATATATAATACATACATATTTTGTAATCAATTTATTATTTATTTGTGTTACAAACACAAATTTTCATTTTTTACAATTATATATAAAATAATATTTATAATATTAAAGAAGAAAAATATTATTTTTACCTGGTGTGAAAGTGATACTATCACTTTCTTTTAATGAACTAGGATCTATGAGCCATTCTTTGGGAATATTTCTAAATTGTGGTCTTTGAGCTAAATTACATGAATAAGTATATAAATTGCTTATAAATGTTCTTCGTTCTTGTGCTGTTGTCACTGACCATTTATATACTTTATCAATATGTAATTCTATATCCATAGAATCATTTTTTACACCATCCACAATTTGAATATCGCTTAAAGACCAAGATTGTTTTTTCTTGAATACATTTTTATCATTTTTTTTTACTTGATATAAAACTAAAGATGTTGGTGAATCTGTAGTTGTAGTTAAACACAAAAAACTCATCTTTTTTTTTTATATGCTTTGCTTACATAACATATACTTAATAATTTTTCATCGCTAGGTGTGAATACTTCTCTTTGTAATGTATGTCTTATTGCAGCCATAATTATAATTAAAATTTTATGTTCTGTATAGAATATAAAAGATGTTACTTTAAAATAATAACAATATATGTAAATTTACTAATTTTAAACTAAATCTTAATAATAAATTATGAACAATTTTGTAAAATTATAATTTTAATATTTTTTAAATACTTTCATAATATGATAGTTAACAGGTTAGTATACTTTAATTTTAGATACATAATTCTTAATTTTATAAGTTATCATAAATTTATAGGAAAATATAATTTTATTTCAAATCATAACATTAATCACAGTTTATTTAACTTGTTAAAATCCTGTAAAATAAAATCTGTTTGACGAATTCTTGTTTTACTATATAAGTATTATATAGCTATATGAGTAACTTATATGAATATATACTTATATAAATCTATATATATAAAGAAATTTTAACATGTGATCTTTATTTTATTGTTAATTAATAAAAAATATATAATAATTTTAATATAACATAAGTATAAAATGATTAAACGAAAAATAAAGACAAATTTATAAATATATTAGGATTATTATATATAAATTTGAATTTGTATATATATATAATATTAATGCATATAATATTGTTATATTTTACATCATTGAACTTAAGTTTTTAATAAAACAATTTTTACAAAAATTACAAATAATTTTAAAACTTTATAATTAATTATCTAATATATAAATATATAATAATATATAAAATCATGAAAATTATAAAGATATGTAAAATCTCGTGTAAAAAATCTCTTTTAAACATTAAATTAATTTGTAAAATACAAATTCGCTTTTAATTAAAAAAATTATTTTTTAATTAAAAAATATTTTATTAAATAAATTATCAAAATAAATAATTACCAAAAAATTAAAAAAATTATAAATATTAATATAATAAAAATTAATCATTATATAATTATTGTCAATCAAAATTTTATTAGTGATCTTATAATATATTTATAATGTATCTATGTAAATACTTTATTTAAGATAGCGCATTATATGTAATGTTTGTATATTAAATTTTATAATATTTTAAAAAATTATAAAATCCATTAAACAAAGTTCTGTGTTTAACATGTGTAATATGTTTAACACATATAAAAGAAATAGAGAAATTCACAGTCCGGTGAGTATTCATACATGAAATAAGTGTAGTTGCGTCATGACAGTCATAAGACATAGAACGGTGAGGAAATTTATATATCTTATAAATTATTTGTGAATGTATTTTTAAATAATAAAGGTAAAATCTTTATTTCATGTATAAATAAGTAATAAATTTAAGATGAAATTTATTATTTGATAAATATTATTTTTTATAAAAACTATAAAATATAATAATCATAACTTATTATAACTAAATGAATTTAATTTTTATGTAAAATATAATGATATATCTATCAAAATGATTTTATATTAAAATTGTTTCTCATTCTTTAAAAATTGAATAATTGATATATATATATATATATATAATATAAATCATTTTATAATTATATATCTTCAAATATCAATATGGATTGTATTATCAGTACAAAGTAAATATTAATTTAAAATTATTATGAATAAAATTCTTATTATGAATCATATTAAATATCATCATAGTATTTGGTTTATATGTGCTATATTAAATATTAATGGAAAAAAAATTATATATAATATATATATATATGAATGTACAGGATGTTAATATATTCATTATATATTCAAAGAATTAGTGACTAAAACAAAAATTGCTCAAAAATAGTTCAAAAATTCATCAAAATTTATTTATTAAATTAAAAACAATTGAAAAAGATATAGATATATATATATATCTATAAATATAAACCGATAAAGATAAACTGCTCTATCTATTATCATCTTCGTCTATTCCATTTCATATAAATGTATGTATACGTATAGGCGAATGAATATGTATATTTTATAATAATAGAACGTTTTGTAATAGAAATTTAAAAAATTATATTCAATATAAAATTTATATATAAAACATGATGCAATATTAAATGACAAAATGCAAAATTATCATTAAAAGAATTATTATAACTATACATTATTAATGTTTTTAAAAAAATTTTTTAAATTTGAAATAAAATATTTAATTGAATGAATATAATATGTAATATAAATAATTTTTAATAATTTTTTATTTTTTATTAAACATATTATATGTACTATTATTTTTTATTAATTTATTATGTTTTATTTTTATTATATTATATATACTATATATATCTTATTGTGTATATATATTTATATTATAAGTTATTATATAATTTATATTAATTAATAACTATTTAATAATATTATATGTACATGTAAATAAACATGTAAATATATGTTTTAAAAATCTTATTCTCAAAATCATTTTACTAATATCATTTTATAAAAACATTATATATATTTATACATATATAATAACACAATATATATATATATATATATGCATTATACCTTTTTTATTAAATTTATAAATAATATTATATAGGTGAACAATGGATGAAAATATTTGGAAACATACAAAATCAGTAGAAATTCCAGAAGAAGCTCTTAGACAAACACTAGAGAATGAAAAATCTATAACAGAAAAATTATATGCACTAGTAAAACGATCTCCATTTGCTGTAGCTGGTATGTTTTTAATTACTATTTCGTTGTTGTATATTTATTTATACCATTAATAAATTAAGAATATAAAAAAAATATATATTAAAAATAACAAATATCAATATTTTTTAATAATAATTATTTTATTTTTCACTATAATATAATTAAAATATAAATAATCTAAATAAATTTTTCAATTTTAATATTATTTTATGAAAATAAATAAGATTTTTTTTATAGGTTTAACAGGTTTATCTATTGTATGTGGAATAGGTATATATAAATGGAAAACAAAAACAGTAAATCCTTCTATATATTTAGTACAGCTAAGAGTTGCAGCTCAGGCTACAGCACTTAGTATTATAGGTCTAGGAATGATATATAGCATGTATAATGATTTTATACAGAAGAAAAAAAGGAATGATATTCATTATGTGATATTAAAAACAAATAGACATTTAATATTAGAAATTTAATTATTTTTAAAGAACAAATTGCAATATATATTTATTATTTATTAAAATATCCAAAAAACATGTAATAAATATCAAACTTAAACAATCTGTGTAATTTTTATTATATTCAATGTAAAAAAATGTTATGTAATTATATGAAATAATAATTTGATATTTTTTAAAATATTTCTATTAAAGGAATATTTTGTTGTATAATTTATTGTTCTTTAAATAAAATGTAAATGATGTATTAGAATTAATAAAATCTAATAAAATAAATCAATATAAAAAATTATAATTTAATTTAAATTATGTATTTTATAAAATAACTCTATTTGTTTAAATTAATATTTCATATTTTATATATAAAATGAATGTTATTATATATATATATGTTTAAAGAGTGAAAATTATTTAAATTAATCTTATTGAATTAAAAGCATTTAATTGTATATTATATTATATTATTTTATATTAAAATATTATTAAATATTACCTAAATATATAATATAGAATAAATTTTATAAGTAATTAATGATATAAACAATATTATTTTATATGAAACTTTTATGTTAAACTTTACTATTATCTATTTATTGAATATGTTATTTTATATATTTTAATATTGAGTATGAAATATTTAACAATATTATTCAATATTAATCAAATAATATATTTTTAACATATAAATATATTTAGAATTAATAATATATCAAATTTTTATGTTTAATGTTTGGTAGAGTATGTTATAATATTGTATAATATAATATTATATATAATAATCAATTTTGATTGATTTGTTTGTATTCTTATATTATTAAAATCAATTCTAACTATAATGAACACGCAATATTAGGTGCGGAAGAATTCACTTCAAGTTATCAAAATACGTAAAGATGGCTGAAGAAAGTGACAGAAGTCAATTACCACCTGGTTGGGAATGCAGATATGATATTCGAAGTGGTCGTCCGTACGTACATTTATTATAAAAATTTATATTATTTTATTACTTGATGTTAGAAAAAACAATGTTAATGAAATTATTTATTTATTAAATATCTAATATTACGCAATTATCATGATCTGTTTCGTTATTTAATTGTTTGTTAAATAATAATAAATTAATAAAAAGAATGTTATTATATAATTATTCTTCATTAATATTTTTTGCTTTATTACGATATAATAATATATTAATAATTACAAAACAATTATGATAATATAATAATTATATGATTGAATTGATGAAAATTATATGATAAATAATATAATAACATAATTATTTAATTATTAGTTAATATATAATATTAATATATAAATACATATAAAATATTTACAGATATTTTATAAATCATTTTAATCGTACAACAACATGGGAAGATCCAAGAGTAAGATATTGGCAGTATTCTCAGTATATACAATCTCAAAATTCAATGGCACTGAGTTCTGCTACAACTATTACTTCCCAAGATATACCTATGCAGGTTAGTAGATAATTTCTATTATATATTAAATGTCAGATTTGTTAAATCATCATATAATGAACATATATGTTTTTATATGTGAAAAAATATGAGTATTTTAAAATTACACTCATGCATGTGTTAAAATTTTAATTGCACTGCCAATATATGTATTCTTATCATATGCACATGCTGCATTTGGATAAAATATAATATGTACAACAAAATAGACTGGAGGAAACGGAGGTGGACATTTAGGTTATGCAGGAGCTCATAGAGCTCCGCAAATCTATCCTACACCGTCTCCTTATCATAATCCACAACTTGCATTTTTACCCCCTAGTTTGCAGGTAGGTAACTTGTAATTTATATGCATTATTATATATTATTTAATATTTTGATATTTTGATAATAATTAAATCAATTTAAATTTTGATCAATTAATTATTCTTATATTATAAATTATCAATATAAAAATAAGTAATTAATGATATAAACAATATTATTTTATATGAAACTTTTATGTTAAACTTTATTATTATCTATTTATTAAATACATTATTTTATATATTTTAATATTGAATATGAAATATTTAACAATATTTAAAGAAAATAATTTATGTAGGATCTGAAAACTCCATTATCTCTAAAATCGGTTAGTGCAATGACAAATAGACTTGGAGATATGACATTGGGATCTTCAACACCAATAAAAAATATGGAAACATGTTTAACACAGAATTCAGATTCTGAATTGCAAGTTGCTAAAATCAATGCAATGTTTCCAACAGTTTCTGATACTCATATCCGACTTCTTTTAAAAAAGTAAGTAAATATATAAATATATATATGTATAAATACATTTAAATATTTATATTATCATATATCATTGTTAACAAAAATTTTGGTTAACTTCTTTTACTTCCATTAATATAAATTTTTATATCCTTAAATTTTATATCCTTTAAATTATATTAATATACACATTTTTGGTATATGTGGTTTGGTATATTTAGTTATATTTCTGATATGTATTGATATTAGTTTTTTTCATTGAGTTTCATTAGCACTATAACAATTAGAGTGCTAAGATGGTAGCTGATATCTTTCAGATACCATAACAGAGCAGCTTTGGTTGTCAGCGCTTTACAAGTGGAAAAGAATCCTCTTTGTGCGCCAGGACCTTGCACACCTGTGGGAGTGCATTCTAACTATGCAATACCAAGATGGCGATTACCACCACATGCTATACATGCAGCTTTAACATTGAGTCCACCTCGTGGGGCTCGGCCAGCCCCTAACTCCCCAAAAATGAAACTTAGGTTTTTCCTATATTAATAATTTAAATTTCATCAGATATGGATGCTAGATGTTGATATTGTATCTTGTGATAGTTGCAAAGAAATATATCAGATAGCAAAATAAAACATTATACATTAATATTATATTAGTTTATTTTGAATATCTGATGTATTTTCTGTACATTTTCTGTACATAACTATATACGGTGCTGTGTAGTGATAGCATGTGTTAGTACATATTGCAGACTATTTATACAATCAAATATTTCTTACTTATAATCAAATTCAATTTTTATCCTATATCACATAATTTATTAATAAGTAAAAATTAGAATTAGAAATTATAAATTTATTTATCTGCAATGTGTTAAAATTTATTAAGTATAATTTTATAACTGATAATATTGCAATTAATCAATGTGAGAATGCAAAATGTTTGACTAAGTAATGATAGTAATATGTTGCAAAAATTTACATCCTATGTAGTAGACAAATCTGTATTTTGAGTAGTTTCTTAAAGAATGAAAGAATTTAAAAAACCAATAATTTTTTAGTAATTTTTTTTTTAATTATTGAATCATTTGTATGTTCTATTTTTTTTTATTATAATTTATATTTAATTTATTTTTATATTTAATTTTTTTATATATAGTGTTATTTCGAATTCATTTTTCATTTCAGTTTCTTCCTGGTTTACAATACACCACATGTTGGATAGTGTAAAATTTACACAAATCATAGATAGGTTGGTTTCATATCATCAATGCATTTTTTGTTTACTTTTTAATAATTATAATAAAAATTCATTTTTTTTTATGTTATTTGTTTGTTATAATAAAAATTTCATAATAATAAATGAGTTTCTTAAAATTATTCAATATATATGTAAATTAAGAAAAATATATAAATTTCAATTATTTAAATATTCAAATATTACCAAACAAAATGAAAAAAAATATTGATATAGTATTATAAATTTCATTTATTCAACAAAAATGTGGTTTAAAGCATGATAATATGTGCACGTTACATTATAATTTGAAATATTATATTTGAGATTGTAGTTAAAATATATAATTTTATTTTTTAGAATCAATTTACTCATATTAATTTTAATAAATTTGAAATAATATTTTTATTTAAATTATCAAATTGTCAATTACATGTGCATACAATTGTTATAATTTATGCAATTTTTAATTATTAATCACTAAATGGATATTATTTTAATGTGTATATTTTTCTTTAATAATCATTTTTATTATTATTTTTTAATTTATAAGTAAATTTTCACAATATTCATTCTATATTGTAGACTGTGTTTATATTTATTACATTATATTTATATTATATTATATGTATTACAAAATAGTTTTAATAAATATTATATACTAAAATACTACATTGCAGGTACCTGAAAAATGTATTTCCAAAAGTAGAAGAAACTATGTTGCTTGATATTTTGGAACAAAGTGATAACAATGTTCAAAAAGCATCTGAAAAATTAATTGATTTGGGTTATGAAAAACGAAATCCTATAGCTCCTAAATCATTACGAAAAAAAGAAGAAGAACAAGTAATGTATTAAATCTTTTTATGTATTTAATATTGTACATTATATCAAAAATAAATATTTTTTTATAATTGTATATTATATATTTTTTTTAAATGTATAATTATATATTTATATTTTATAAATATTTTATAATATTATAGATAAAAAAGGAACAACAAACTGCACCTACCCCACCACCACGTATGAAAAGTTTAGAAGAAAAAAATAAAAGTAGATATATTTAATATTTTAATAATATTAATAATATCAATATTTTAATTCTTTGTAGTTCCATGTGAAAATCTTATTTTATTGTTAATATTTTTTTTATATACATAATTTACTTTTATAGAAATATATCAATATTGATAAGTTATTGGATATAAAACATGAGAATATAATTAAATTATGAATTAAATTTTGAAAGTAATTACAAATATTACAAATATAAATCTAGGATAAAACATCAAGTATGATTCGGATCACAAAGAATTAAACTACTAATATCAATATTTTAATTTTTCTAAATTATGATTTATTAGTGAAAATGCGATTAGTGGAAAAGTATAAATCAGTACCAGAAAGAGTGATAATGCTTGCTATGGATAGCGTTGATTATGATGAAGAAAGAGCAATACACATATTAGACATCATGGTTACAGAAGAAGCTACAAGACCTTTATGTACATCAAGTAGTCAAAGGTGATACATATTTAAGTAAAAAAATTCATATTTTTTATTATATAATGGAGATTTAAACTTTTTTTAATTAAACAATATTTCAATTGTTTTATGCTTCATGTAAATTTTTTATTTAAATAAAAATATATAATATTACAGTAGTAAAAGTGATGAAAGAAAAGACAGTCCACCAATAACTGAAGCTGTAAAATTAACTGTATCACCAATTAAAAAAATAGTTAAGGATGCAGATTCGGAAAAATCTAAACGATCTAAAAATAAAATAGAAATACCAAAGTAAGGCGAAATTCTATTATATTTTGTCATATTTATAATTCTTTTTTTCAAAATAATTATATTTAATATTCATTATAAAAGTATAATGTTCAATAATATTTTTAGAGTTTCTCGAGGAACCAGTACAACAGAAGACAATGAATATAAATCTCCATATTTGACAAAATCGGTTGGACCAAATCCTGATTTACCAAAAGGAGCTAATAATGATTTACTTTTGTAAGTTAAATATTTTTTTTAATATTAATAATTAATAAATTATAATTTATTAATTTATAAATTTATATTTTTTATATGATTATAATTATTATATGATTTAAATAAATAACAATAAAATTATTTTAATTTTTTAGACCTGATTATGCACCGTGGTCAGGACCAGATCCGAATTTATTAAGTAAAGAAATATATAATAAAACAGTAGCTAATGGACATGATGCAAGTTTGCTTTTTGGAAATCGTTATGTTGCCAAAGGATCTAATCCAGAATTGAGAAAAGGCCCATTGAGGGAATTAACTCAAGGATCTATTTATTCTCAAAGAAATGTTTCGAACACAGAAAGTCGTGGTAAATGAAATATGTGTAACTGTTTTTTTGTCAATTTTTATGTTTGTTAATTTAAGTATATTTCAGTTTTGTATAAGTTATTTTTTTTATTTAATATTTTCATATAAATTATACAGATTTATAGTTATAAATAATTTATAGTTTAAAATTATTTAATCAAAATATTTATTTTTTAATTTTTAAAATTCTAATAATAATATTAATTGATAAACAATTATTGTTAATTTCATATTATAATTAGATTCAAATTCATTCATTAAATTCATTCATTATTATATATATTTTTTACATAATTGCATAAATATTTATTTTGTTAATTTTGTTTTATTTTGTTACATTTTAATAATTGTTTTATGTTCATTATATTCATTATATACCAAGAATAAATAGCAAATTATCTACAAGATAGAAAATAAGATAAAAGAATATATAAAAGAGTGTTCAAAAATTTATTTAGATATATATGTTTTTAATAATTTAAAAAAGTATATAATTATCATTCTAGTATTATATATTATCAATTTGGAAAAATCATAATGCTTCCATTTTTGACATATCTTGTGCATTTTAATATATGTATAAATCAAAATTTCCAAATATGACCAAATTTCGAAATATTCAAAAGATAATTTAAAAAAATTTTTAATATTAAATTATTTGATTATATTTAAATACAAAATTATAAATCAACTTCTTTGAAAATATGAATAAAATTTCTAATAATTTCAATTCAAATATAATAAATTTATTTAATATTTGTAATAATAGTAATTAATTCCATAAATAAAATATTTTATAATATTATTTTAATATAATATTATAAATTTTTATTATAAATATAAATATTTATTATAATATTAATTTTATTAAAAATTTTTATAATATATTACATTGATTGATTTCATTAAATAAATATTTTATTTTTAAAAAATTAAGTATTGAACTTTTAAAGAATTAAATATAAATTAAAAAAATATATTTTAATATAATTTTTAATATAATATAATTTTTAATATAATATAATTTATATATTGCTAATTATAATTCATATATTCTTTTTTGCAATAATTGCAATAATAGATTAACTTAATTAATCTAACTAAAAATTAAAAAATTAACTTCTAAATTCTCAATTTATAAGAATAGAAAAAAATTTTTATTATTTATTAATAAAATTTATATTATATTTCATTTATATTACATTATATTATTTTATATTATATTATATTATATTGTTAAAATAATATATAAGAATAAAAGGATATTAAATTCAAATTTTAACAAACAAATATAAAAAATAATTTAGAAGTCTTTATAATCTATATTATATTATAATATAAAATTCTTAAGATCATAAAATTTTTACCATTCTAATAGTTAAATTCTAAATTCTTTATAAAAATCATAAATTGCCAAAGGATCTAGTTCTTAGCATTACAACTAATATTCACTATTCAGTATTATAAGATATTTGAGGTAATTTAAAATATAAAAAATTTAATTATGTGACATATATTTGAAAAATTATTAGTTTTATATGTTCTAAGTCATTTTACAACATATAATAGATATAAAATATAAATTGCATATCTAAAATGCAATTCCAAGGTAATTATTACATATGATAGGCCATAACCAAAATAGGATTTTTAATGATAAATTAACAAAAATATATAATAAAAAACAAAAATAAAACTTTATATATGCTATAATTAAATAAATTGTACAAAAATATTTTCATAGCTTAATTTAAAATAATCCTGCCTTTGAGAAAATTTAATAAAAATTAATAAGAGATGGGCTGTGGTTGAAACATTAGGGCTATTTTTATAGCTTTTTGACTTGGAGAAATTAGGAGGGATAAAATAATCTATTTTAACTATATTTTGAGTATTGATACATATGCAGAAAAATAAGATAAATTAATTCTTCAATTAGATAATTATTGTAATTTGATATTTCAATATGAAAGACATTCTCTCAAATGCAATTAGGTAGATTTCTATATATTCAAACTTATGTATGGGATGTATTGTGAAATAACTATTAGTCAATAATATAAAATGCCAAATTTATTTCTTTGAATTCTTCCATCCAATAAATTCATATTACAAAATATTAATATGAAATAGAAAATGAAAAGTAAAATATCTTTCATTTTTTTAAATTACATAGAAATGAATTAAATAGAAGGTTGTGTGCAATAAATGTTAGTAAAATCTATCCTTAAAATAATAAATGTATTTTATTATATGAGATTTGTTAATCTGGTATGGATTTTGTTGTATTAATGCATAAGATATTTGCTACATATGCAAATATAATATAAAAAATAACGTTATATATTAATGAAGTTACTCTATTTCACAATTAAGATTTCAAGTTCCATGCAATTTTTCTCATATATATGTTATTTTATTTGCAGAAACAAAACTATTTTTAATAGACTTTATGCAATGTGAACACATGAAAAAACTATATATTTAGGTATTTTCAGAATTATTTTGTGTTTAATATAGTTCACTATAATTATATTAAAATCATATTTAGCTTTAAGAATTTTATCCTAGATAATTTAAACTAAACAATTAATACATTTTAAAATGAATTAAAATAATTCATAATTAAAAATATAAATATTACATATATACAAATATTATATACTAAATATTGCAATAATGCAAATTATATTACATTGTATTTACACATATCTGTACAATAAAAATATCCATAACCAATTTTGTGTAATAATTTATTTATAATTTTTTTATATATACATATACAATAATTTATTATATATATAATAATAATACATATATAATAATACATAATAAAATTTATGTGATTATTATTTTATTCCATATTTATTTCCAAATATTAAGTGATATAATATAATTACTAAATGGTCTAAAAATATTAAAAAAAATGCAATATAATTTTAATTTAATGTATATTTATTTATTTTTTTATATAATTGTTTTTAAATTATTGTTTTTATGTTACATTATTTTGTACTAATTACAGTAACAAAGATATAAAAAATTAAACTATGTATATTTTAAAAAAGAAAGAAAACATTTTATGTACAACATATAAATATTTATCACTGGCAAAAAAAAAAAAATATGAAGATAGTGTCTAATTTATGTATTGAAATATTAATTATTAAACTTCATCTTCGTTTAAAAGCATATTTGGTATACCATCATTGATTGGAAATTTCCTACCAGATTCTGGGCATAATAGATCTCCATTAATGATTTCAACTTCAAGTAATACATGATGAACTTTTTTTAAAAATTCCTCATTTGTTTCAAAATCTTGAATCAAAGTCTGCGGTAATTCTCCAACGTGTCCTATCTGCATTGATATATAATATATTATTATTCATTGATATATGTGACTCAGATTTTTAATATTATTGTTTATATTTAAATATATATTTAAAAAAAGATATAAATATGGTATATAATTATAATAGTTTCATATTTTTATATTAAAAAAGAAAAAAAAATGAATTGTTTTAAATCTAAGTCATAATCATTTCATATAATACTAAATAATTATAGAAAAATTATTTCATACTCATAAACAAATTTTCATATATTTAATATTTATTAAAAAACATAATATAATAAAGACTATAGATAAAAATATTTTATCTTAAATGATATTTAAAATTTTATAATTTTTAAACTATTTTACATATTTTTATATATTTATAACGTTAAAGATTTTAATAATATTCTTTCATTTATACAAATAAATACAAAAACTTACACTTTCTGCAGCTTTCCAAAGTGTAGCCCAATCAAGTTTTGGAATTATTCTTGCAATAAATTCTGAATTGAAATCTACTTCTGAGACTTTAATATCTTTTGCCTACAATTTTATATAAGAAATATAATGATTTTTTTATTAAAGAACATCTAAATTAAATTGAATATTCTCTTCATATTAAACAAAATGTACCATAAATAGTATATTACATACGATTTTTAACATAAACATATTAAAATATTTTATTTTTTTTACAAAATATTTTATTCAATTTTAATTTAAATTATAACCTCAAAATTATATATATATATACACAATATATACACAATATATACATATACAATATACACACACCATATATATATATATATATATATATATAACTTACAACAATTCCAAGGGGATATCCAACAGTTACACCTTTTAAGCATTTTGAAGTTAACATATTATGCGTTAAAAGTTTCATTTTTTTTTGTTATATTATTTAATTATTTTGTTAATTGAAATAATTCGAAAAAATTATGATTTCGTTTATTAAACTTTTATATTATAAATTCATTACACGATACTCTTAATGCCGGCTTTTCCTCGCTTATGCACGTTCCAATTTCAAGACGCAATTCAATGTAACTAATATTTTATTATGAAAATGATACTTTCATAACTTTTAATATTTTAATTGTGTTATATCTAAAATAAAAAAAATTAGAATAAAATAAAAATTATTCGATTAAATTTTTAAATAGAAAAAATTAATTATAAGAATTTAAATTTGATATTTATTGTGATAAATTATCTGACAAGATCACGTGATTTCTTCTATTCAATTGCACTTTTCTTTGGGAGGTTAGTTTGTTAGGAAAACTATTATTATATTATTTGGGAATAATCTATTATATTTTATTAGGTTTTCTCAAAATGTTTCTAAAATAATTATATCGAATTAATTCTAAAAAAAATTTTATTCGATATAAAATTATGATAAATTATAAAACATATGGTATAACCGACACGTATATATCATAGTCCGAAGTGGAAAATAGTTTAACAGCAAACTGACACTAGCCACATCATCTGGCCTTGATGAAAATACGCAATCAGCTGTTATTCTTGCCCGTTTATCTCTTTTTGTATTATATTTAAATATATTTCTACTATTATCTGCCAGTCATATTTTGACACATCACCAATTTACTCAAAAAATAATTAAAAACTTGTATAACCTAGAACAAGTAGTATATTTTCATTTTTCAATTCCTAATTCTTCTACAAGCATTTAAAAATATATTTAATAAATATTAATAATTAAATATTGTAAATTTTTTTTTATTGCTAAAAATATATATTTTTAATAAATTTATGATACTTGTGTGATAATTATCAAAAAATGCTACAGAAGATACAGAAAAATAGATATCAGTAGGAAACATATTAAATTAGTGCATATAAGATTTGCACTTTAATATATATTTTGTTATTATGCAATAATGATATTTTGACAAAATAAATTATAAAATATATAGAAAAAACATGTGTGCTATTACAAATACAAGATCTTGACATCAAAAGGAATATATTTTCAAATATAAAGAAAATGGCTTGTGATTTATTTATTTGGGGATTACTAATGTTTGGATGCAGCATACAAGCTTTGCTAGTTGCATCTGAAGATGATCCATTGGAATATATGAGCAAAGAAGAACGAAAAGCATTAAAGTTTGTATTATTTCTTAATTTTATATTAAATATAAAATATAATAACATATTAAATAATATAATAACATTTTTATATGTATTTTTTGTATATATTTTTTTACTTGCAGGGAAGAAGCTAGAGATATGTTTTGTCATGCATATAATGCTTATATGGTAAAGTTTGTACAAAAAATTTTATTTTTCAAATAATATAAATAAATATAAACTAAATGTTTAAAAAAATTGAATAAAAATATAAATATATTTTATAAATATAAAGTAATAAAATATATTATGAATCAGATATAATTATTAATTTTTATAAGATATTAAAATATATAATATTAGTTTTATAATTTTTTGATTAAAATCATTTTAATTCAAGTAAATAATAAATAAATTTATATTTAGGATAATGCATATCCTGCTGATGAATTAATGCCATTAAGTTGTAAAGGAAGGTATAGAGGATCAGAACCAAATAGAGGTGACATAGATTCTACATTGGGAAAGTAAGGAAAAAAATTTATTATATATTTTATATATTTTATATATTAAGTAAAATTCTAATTTAATAAATCAATTGTTTTTATAAATTTTATTTAAACAGCATATATTTATAATATTTAAATGATTATTATTTATTTAATTATTATTTATTATTAATTATTTAAAGAATTGTAATAAAGAAATACATATAGATATATATATATATATATTTTCAGTTTTTCTCTTACATTGGTCGATACCTTAGATACACTTGTGGTAAGGATATTGAAATTATATCAATAAATTTCTTATGTATATATTATATAATATATATAACAAAATGTAATTTATATTTATTTTTATGTATTTAATGTTTAGGTATTGGGAGATTTGGAAGAATTTGAACATGCAGTTAAACTTGTTGTCAGAGATGTTCGCTTTGACACTGATGTTATTGTTTCTCTATTTGAAACTAATATTAGAATGCTTGGGTAAGATGCTTCATAATTGTTAAATTTTATTATATTATTATAGTTTATATAATTAATTTTTCAATATTATTATATTAATACTATTAATAATATTTAAAATAATTTATTTGATAGGGGTCTTTTAAGTGGTCATATATTAGCAGAATATTTACAGCAAAGAGCTGATATAATGCCATGGTATAGAGGTGAACTTTTAAATTTAGCTAAAGATTTGGGATATAGATTTTTACCTGCATTTAATACAACTACAGGAATACCCTATGGCAGAGTAATAATATTTTAATTATTTTGATAATGAAATATGTATATTCTTCAAAATATATTTATCAATATAATTTTTTTAGATAAATTTAAAATATGGTATGAAAGATGTACCTTTGGAAGTATCACGAGAAACATGTACTGCCTGTGCAGGTAGTATGATTTTAGAAATGGCAGCATTATCAAGATTAACAGGAGAACCAATTTTTGAAGTATAATATTTTGTGATAATATTTTATAAAAATGAATTTCAATATTAATATAATATAAAAATAATATAATAATAATTATATATTAAATAGGAAAAAGCACAAAAAGCAATGGATGTTTTATGGAGAATGCGTCATCGTGGTACTGATTTAATGGGATCTGTGTTAAATGTACATTCCGGTGATTGGGTAAGAAGAGATTCTGGTGTAGGAGCAGGTATAGACTCCTACTATGAATATTGTCTTAAAGCATATATTTTATTAGGTAATTATAATTTATTATTTAACATTAAAATTTATAATTTTATAATTTTATTATAAAATTTTTAATGATATAATAAGATACAATTAAATTAAAATAATAAAAATTTTTGATCATAATATAGGTGATGAAAAATATCTTGGTCGTTTTAATAAACATTATCAAGCTGTAATGAAATATGTAAGTCAAGGACCAATGTTATTGGATGTACATATGCATAGACCAAATACAAATTCAAAAAATTTTATGGATGCTTTATTAGCCTTTTGGCCTGGTTTGCAGGTGAATATTAATTTATTTGATTTTTTTTATATTTATTTCATTCTTTTATTTTTATTTTTTAGGTATTAAAAGGCGATATAAAACCAGCTGTAGAAACTCACGAAATGTTATATCAAGTTATGCAGAGACATAATTTTATACCAGAAGCATTTACTACTGATTTTCAGGTTTTTAAAATTTGTAATATTTTAAATTTTTTAAGACGAATAAATAAATCTTAATTGAATATTAATATATGCATGTTTTTATTTATATAATTAGGTACATTGGGGACATCATCCATTAAGACCAGAATTTCTAGAATCAACATATTTCTTATATCGTGCTACTGGTGATCATTATTATTTAGGAGTTGGGCGTAAAGTACTCAAAAGTCTACAAACCTATGCCAGAGTACCATGTGGTTATGCAGCTGTATCAGATGTTAGAACTAATAAGCATGATGATACAATGGATAGCTTCGTATTATCAGAAACTTTCAAATACTTATTTCTGTTATTCGCGGAGCCAGGCGAACTACTTTTAGATTTGGATGAATTTATTTTTACAACTGAAGGACATCTATTACCATTAACACTTGCTTCTATAAGAACTAATATTTCTTCGGTAAATATAATAAATAAATTTAATTAAATCTGTATTAAGATATATAAATTATCAATTTCTAAAATATCATATAATAAGGTTAATATGATTCAGATATTTTTTAATATTTATAATTTATAAAATAAAGCAAGATTTTGAACGAGATATTGTACATGTGGACGAAATGGATCGTACTTGTCCTAACAGTCTACATTTATTTCCTGCATCAGTAAGACAACCTTTAAGAAACATGGTAGAAGATATATATCCCAGACGTGCAATAAAAAGAAGATTGAGTGCTGCACAATTTCAGGTGAAGGAATATTATTGTACATATGTACATATAAAAGAATCCAAAAATGTTAGAATTTCAATATATATTTAGTGAATCTAAAAGTATGGAATTGAATAATATACTAGCATTTTAGAATGTCTGAATTTCCGAGAATTTCGAAAACTCGAATTTTATTTCAGAATTAGTTAAATCAGGCACAATCATAATTTTGAATTTACTATCTGTTAGATATTTTTTATTTTTAAATCAACAACGTAAAATAATAAAATAATGAAAGATAAAAATATAAAAATAATGCATAAAATTATAAATAGATTTATTTTAAATTCATATGTAAAAATTTATAAAAATTTATTATTGTTCAATATTACTTATCAAATTCTATTCTATCTATCGTTACAATAATACTAGCAATAAAAAAAAATTTGAAAAAGTGTTATTTTAATGTTATTTTAATTTTGAAATTATTAATTTAAAATTAAGAAAAATTATACGTTATGAAAAAAGTTTGAAATTATAAAAAAAATCCAAAAATGATATATTAATATAAAAAATGTTATTAAATATGCGCTTTAAAATTAATTCTAAAATCTAATTTAAATGAATATATTTTCGAGTGACGAAATACTTTCGGAAATTTGACCCGATTCTAAAAAAAAAAAAAAATTCTCAATTCAATCAAACATTTTCGAATTTTAATTAAATTTCTATATATACAATTTATATACAATTTAAATTTAAATTAAATATATATTAAAAGTTATTATTTTTTATTATAGGCAAATAATTTGGAACATTTAAAATTATTGAGTGATATGGGAATAACAACTTTAACTTTGGCAGATGGACGTGTTCAATTATTGCATACATTCTCTAATGTAAAATAAAATCTTTTTGTATTTATTAACCTATTTAAATATTTTATTTATTATAATTTTAAAAACTATAAATTATATAATTTTTAATTTATTATAGGCAAAAACACCACAAGATTCAGAAGAAGGATTATTATTTATGCAAGAAATGGTTGAAATAAGTAAAATGCAATCTCAACAATCTGATACTAAACCACAAGCTGTTACATTTGTAAAACCAAACACAAATCCACCTCAAATAATTAC